GAGAGGAAGCGAGAAAGGGAGAGGGAGAGCAAGAGGGAGAGGGAGTGGGAGAGAGAGGCTAAGCGAGACAGACAGACAGACGGACGGAGGGAGAGAAAGGGAAAGAGAGAGAGAGAGAGAGAGAGACGGAGAGGGAGGGAAAGAGAAAGGGAGAGGAAGAGAGCGCGAGAGGAAGTGGATGGAGAGAATCGATCGGCTCCCAAAAGGACGGAATCCGTATCCTCTCCGGGTGACTTTCTGCAAGGGAGGCCTATCATCTCCCCATGGCATTTACTGGATGCTAAATGGCAGAGCTCGTCCTCCAGGGCAGAACCGGCGCCGATCAAAGGGTTGGGCTGGATAGGCTCCAAGGATGCGCCCATGGCCGTGATTTCATCGTAGCTCCCAGCAGGCGGCGCTCTCTGGGCTGCAGACTGACTGTACGCCACTGCGCATGCTCGATTCCTTCTGCGTGGTCGGGAGACTGCCGCCTGTGAGTTCCTCCCGGGGAATCTGGGGACGGGGGGAGGGCAAGGGGGGATCCCGCGACTCAGATCCTCCCCAGGGTAGGGGAAACAGACTCCGGATCCCGAGGCTTGGAGGGAAAGGGGAATCCACCCCATAACTGCTCCGAGCTGTGCATGCAGAAGATCAAAAAAATGGGGAGGGGAAGAGAGTTGAGAGGGGGGGAGGGGAGAGGGAGCCTAAAGGGACCACTTGCTCACGTCTCCTTCAGATTCAGCTTCCAAGACGGGAAGGATCTTCGGAGAGGCAGCGGAGACCAGTTGCCCGATGGTGCCAGCGGCTGAAAGGTTCCTGGCGAGCGTGGCAGAGGAGAAAAAGCAGGAATAGAATGAAAGGGACCTTGGAGGTCTTCTAGTCCGACCCCCTGCTCAGGAAGGGCCCCAGGTCAGAGATGCTTCCTTTGGGAAATATGAAGGGATCTTCATGTGCTTGAATTCTTAAATACCTTCCTGAGAGAGTTTTGGGTGATTGATAATGCAAGTAGATAATTTAGAGAACCTCATTAAAGAAATTGTCCTTGCCGGGAAACTCAAAGACAGGCAAGCCCTTCAACAACATGGTGGTCCTATTTGCAAATTCAAACAAGATATGAAAAAGACATAAAAATAATGGGATTTTACAAAGAGCTGACTCCACTTGATAAAATACTTTTAAAAACAGATGAACATTTGATTAAGAAGCTTTATAAATACTTATTAAATTGGAAGATGGAAGAAGAACAAGTAAAAGAGACAATGATAGTATGGGCAAAGACCTTTGGATATTCTATAGAATTAGAAGACTGGCAAAAACTGGGATAAAAATATCAAACTTACTAAAGCAGTAATATACAAAGAAAACTTATATAAAATGTTTTATAGATGGCATATGACACCAGTTCGCTTAGCGAAAATGTTTAAAAATTTATCGGATACATGTTGGAAATGTAAGCAAAAACCCAGTACTTACTGTATTATCATGCCTGGTGGACATGTTCTGTTGCAAAAAAATATTGGTCTAAGATTCATAGAAAATGAATTTTCTAGAAAAGATGATGAAAATCCAGATAGAATTTAAATCGGAACTGTTCTTGTTAGGTATATATATTAAGACCTAACTATGGCAAAGAAAATAATTATTTAATATTACATGTATTAACAGCTGCAAGAATAGTATTTGTCCAGTTTTGGAAAAATGAAAACCTACCATCAGACCAGATTATAATTTTGAAAATCCTAGATTGTGCAGAAATGGATAGATTAACGTTAGAGATGAAGGAGAAAGAAGATTCAATCTTTTATAAAACCTGGGGAAAATTTTATCAGTGGGTTGAAACACGTTAGAATAAGAAGAGATTTTAGAGTTTCATTATATTAAGTATTAAGGTTGATGATTGGAAATAGTTGTTATGCTATCAACTATGTTAATTATTTAAAGGAATATTAGTGTTTTACCAAATGTCAGTTGTAACTATACCGAATTATTCTTATAAATGTCTAGTATTATATAAACAATAATACTTAATATGAAGACCCGGCCGACACCTTGTTCGCTGAATTACATATTTACTGTAGTCATCCACACCCTGTCCCTTTTATTCCGTTTTTCCTGTACCCGCACCGACCCCACCTTTTCCCTACCCATATAAAATCTAATAAAATATATTTTTTTAAAAAAAGAAATTGTCCTTGCACTTCCAAAGAGTATCTCATTTGGAGCAATTCTCCCATTGGCCTCCATCCATCTTTACAAATGGACAGGAGGGTTTAGCCACCTTGTGGAAAGAACATAAAATCCAGATCCTCTTGTGTCCTGACCTCTTCAGCCCTCTCCTTTGCTTCTATTTCAGGTTCTAAGGTCCTTCCAGGAATGGGGACTAATTGGGTGGACCCCACAAATCTTTCTCGTGATCTGTCTTTCAGAGGGATCCCCAAGGAGAAAAGTCAACGTCAGGAAACCTCACTAGGTAAGGGAAGACCATTCCGCTAGATTGGAGATTTTCTAGAAAGATTCTCATTATCCTTAATTCTCTGTGTCTTTGTCACTGTATTGAGTAGAAGGTGACAAAATAAGAAAGCAAGAACTCCCTCTTCAAGCTAAAAGACTTAATACGCACAAAGGAATTCCCTCTGTGATGAGAGATTTCTCTTTGTTCTCAATGATGCAGAAGAGAGCAACCTGTTTTTTGGCCTTCCTTAAGAGATAATTTTGACTAAATTTCTACACAGATTCCTGCTGGACCATTTCTAACACCACCTGTCCTTGCAGGTATGTTCCTAGATTGCTAGAATTTCACGAATTGCTCTTCCATGATGGTTTCAAGCTGCAGGAAAGAATTTGCAGTGATTGAGCAAATGCTTTGGTTGCCAAGAATGTACTTCCTTTTTTTTTTTTTTCCCAAAGAAGTTTTATTATTTTCCATCATAAAAAAAAACAATCACAAGCATAATAAACACAATAACAAGTAACCCCCCCCCCGGACTTCCCAAACCTAATCCCAGGATAATATTCATATATAAGTAAACAAATACTAGTATCTCTAACTCCACAAAGTATCTTAATCTACATGAAAAGATAAAAAAAAATAAAATTTAAAACCCTAAGTTATATTCTATCACTCTATGCTTCTTTTGAATATAAACAATCCATCTTCTCCATATTGATAAAAATTGTTCATTTGAATGATTCTTCAAATAAGCCGAAATCTTTGCCATTTCAGCAAGATACGAAACTTTCAATCTCCAGTCTTCCATTGTGGGCAGAATTGGACTCTTCCAATTTTGGGCTATCAACAAGCGGGCAGCAGTTAAACAATAGAACATCAAATTTATTTCTTTTGCATCTAGATCTTGCACAATACCTAAAAGAAACAACTGTGGAAGAAAAATGATCCTTTTCTTAAAAATTTGCTGTAGGTTCCACCACAATTGTATCCAAAAGGCCTTAATAACCTTACAAGTCCACCACATATGAAAAAAAGTTGCATCTGGATGTCCACACCTCCAACACTTGGATTCATAATTCACATAAATACGAGACATAGTTGAAGGATCCAAGTGCCATCTATAAAACATTTTATAAAAATTCTCTCGTAAATTTTGAGCTTGTGTAAACTTCACATTTCTCACCCAGATTAACTCCCAAGTATCCATAGGTATTGTTTCTCCTATATTTTGAGCCCATTTAATCATACAATCTTTAACTAATTCAGTTTCTGAGTCCAGTTCTAATAAAACATTATATATCCTTTTAATATGTCCTTTAGCACCATCTCTTACTTGCTTCAAAAAATTCCCATCTTCCATAACAA